CAAGAGAGATCTGAGAATAGTATAGACGTTCCATTCCAGGATGTGAGAGTATCACGTTCTGTGTTTTCATTTGGACCATTATTGCAAACAGTCGCGGGGCTTAATAAAGAGAAGAGCGGACCCCCTCTCAGTGGCAGAATGTAGACGTCCCATGTCTGTCTCTGAATCGCTTGTTTTAGACAAACTGTCACAGTAGCTAAATCAACTCAAGAACCAATGCAGGAACCTGTGTCCTGTGTGCTTTAAATAATAATAATGCACTTTTCTCATCACTGGACATTAACGTCCTGTGACATATTGTGAGACAAATGTGGAGACAGTTGGACGCAGGCTTTTGGGTCCAGAGTCAGTCCTACTACATCATGAAAAATCATAGGAATTATTCAATACATGGAGTATAATAGTATTGCTTCTATCATCTGAGCTTATTATCCAAATATATCATAAATACACCTTTAAACGGCTCATATATTTGTCTTGTATTCTGTTTTTGTCCCCTGAATTCCACTCATAATGGACTGTGCCTTCAAGACTAATATATGCAGATGACCTCTGTTCTGATTGGTTGCCTTGTTGCTTCATTCTAAAAGCTGTTCTGGCTGAAATGCATGGAGCAAACTGCTAAATAGAGATGGAAAAATAGGCTGCAGCCTTTCGTTTTGGATATATGGATCTTTTGGAGGGCTGCAATGATGTATATATTAATTATTTTTCCACTACAGTCACTCCAGTAATTCTGCTACAGACTGTCTGCACTTCAGTTTGAGTGGCTGATGCTAAACCAAACTGCTATAGGCCGAATAGGTGGTCATATCTACAATGCAGTGAAAATGTATTCAATTCTGATTTCTCAATTTTTGCATATTTTTCAGAGTGAATTGTTCCAAATCTCCAAACTAAATATAACATAGACAAACTCAATCTGAGTGTTTGTCTATGTTATATAAAACACAAAAACAGTGTTTAAATGATCATTCATGAAGGCACATTAGAACCCTAACAATTATCTAAGGTACTACAGGCCTCGTTTGCCACAGATAAGATCAGTGTTCAGAGTTTGACCATTAAAAAGGGACAAAAACGGTTTCCATGGGAGAGTTGCAAGGTGAAAACCACAACATAAAGACTCATCTCACTTACCAAAAACACCTTGGGAAGCATTTGGTTGTGGTTATTGCTGCTAAATTGGCACAACTATTTATTATTTTGTTGGGAGCAATTACTTTTTCACATAGGCAAAATAAGTGCTGCGAAACTTTTTCCCTTAATAAATGAAATGATCTGTTTATTTAGCGTAACAAATATGCAAAAATAGAGCCAATCAGGAGGGGCAAATACTTTTTCACAGTACTGTACATGCATTCATGGTTGTGATGTCACAACCCTCGCACATTCAAAACAGCCTGCCTCTACAATTTAGTTTCTATATATGGACTGTATGGACTAAGAAGTGCATGGCAAGTTTTAGAAGCTTTAACAATGTTTACATTCTACATTAAAGTATTTTATTTGAGGAAAACAAGAAAAAAATAGTTTTTCTATTATGTGCGATCTTCTAATGGAGAGTTCTAGCACACAAAAATAAATATGACACAAAAAATATATTGGTGGCTCCATTCCCATACCCTTTCAAGTGGAATGCATGTTGGCCCCCAGTATTGAGCCATCACCACCGCAGCCCCTGCCTTAGCCAGCAGTGTTTATGACTGGGGCTCAGGAAGGCGTATATTTTTACCTGTGTTGTAGGTTTGGGGGGGTTTGTAAGTGGACACCGGCCAGTGCAGTGAGCCAGTTTAGCTCAAAGGCAGTTCCGCCCACAGCTATTTTCACTATGTACGCAGAGTGGCAGTTCCTGTGTGATCGTATACGTACGCTGGTACATACATCATTATGATAGCGGCAAGGGTAAAGCAAAGGACAGAGGCCTTCAGCAGAGAAAGGTCAAGCAGGGAGGGAATGAGGATGAGGAACGGGAGTCAGAAATATGAGTTGGGGTGTGTTGGGATCAGTACACAGCACGAAGCAAATGAAGAGAATGATGTCTGACCAGGAAAGTGGGGCAGCAAGCTGGTGAAAATCAAATGTAATATGAAAATATGACATAATATACAGCAATGTTCATTAAGTAATTTTATTCATTATTAATAATTATTACAGTGAGCAATGAAGTTTGGTAAGAGTAGGCTATAATGCAAAGCAACATATGTTTAATAACTTAATAACAAAATTTGATTGATGTTTGCTGTCATACATGTGTATATTGATTTATTTATTATTACATACATACATACATACATACATCATCTAAACCGCTTATCCTTCTGGTTCGCGGTGGGGTGCTGGAGCCTATCCCAGCTGTCATTGGGCGGAAGGCAGGATACACCCTGGACAGGTTGCCAGTCCATCCATTATTTATTATTATATTATACTTATTTTACTACAGCTTTCAAAGGTGGATTTTAGAAGGGGAGTTATTCAAGAATGATTTGAATTTGATGGAAGGTTATTATTGTGTATACCGACTTTGTTCTGAGTCTTCTAGATTCTTTATATTTTTTGCCACATTTTTGTCATTTTTTGACATCAAAACAAATGGAAGCTCAAATGAAAAAATATTAGTACAGAATATAAATGGAATGTAATTCCTTGTATAATAGTATATATAAGTAATTTTGGAATTATGTAATTAAGGTAGGTAGCATGTCATCACATGGCATAACATCCTGTAGTGTAATGTCATGTAGCATCACGTATCAGATCGCTACTATAGAACACAAACAATGAGAGTGCCGATAAACATCAAGTTCAGGTTCATTTTTATACTTTAACCATATAGATTTTATGAAATAAAACTTTTAACATAATTTGTCATGTTTGGAATCAGAAAAAAGGCCACCACACTGAGGTAAGAGACCTTTAGCATTTATCTGTTTATCTCAAAAACAATGGCATCTGGTTTGCGGTGGCCTTTACATTTATATAGCAACAGCAATGATAACTGTTCTAAGTGCAGAACTTAAAGCCCATTTTATTAAAGTGCTTGTAGGTTCTGTTCTGATTGGCTGCCCAGCACTGTCTCAATCAAAGAGCAGTTAGGCGGAAACTTACCCCCTCAGCTTGAATAGGTGGGGCTAAATGGGTGTAGGTTGAAGAGGTGGATATATGTGAAAATGTTGGCATCACAAAAACAAATAAAGAACAAAATGAGTGAACTAATTTTTAAATATGGATTTCAGTGTTTACATGCTACATCAAATTATTTCCCTTTTTTTCACGGTTTTTCATGAAATGGGTCATTTCATATGTTTCACTGGATGTGTTGGAGCACTAAAGTGTGCAGTGCTGCTGCTCTATGATAAGCTGTGTTGTAGAGATCCAGAAGGACTAGAAGGCTAATGCTGAAGGGTAAAGGGTAAAGTTCTCTTTCCGGCCCATCCCATCCCCCCTCTCTCTTTAAAGGGGAGAAGGCCAGAGCAGCAGGAGCTGATTAGCTTACAACAATAACAATCATGCAAACGAAGGGAGCGTGTGCTCGTTACCGTCCCAGTGGTCTCTGCGCCCCATCGCAGATATGGTTCCTATTTCACACTCCTGCAGAAGGAAGGGAGGAGGGACGGCCACTGGAATTGATTTAGCAGCACAGGTTAATCTGTTAACTACACCAACATAGAAGGTGCTGAGCTATTGATTGGCAGATAGAGGTGTCATGTAGGGATGTGCGTCTGACTAGAGCAGAAAATTTCTAATTGCATTTTTTTCTGACCAGTATTGCAACTACACATTTAATACAATTTGTTCTAGAAATTTAGCTCCAAGTTTTTCTCCCCAAGAGACAAACACTGTTTTTTTAATACTGAATGTGGTGTGCCAGACTGCCGGTGTAGAAACTTTACAATATGAGATTAAAGTTCCCCACTTAAAACAATGTTAAATAATGTAGGATACAAAGAAAATTGGACCTCTTGCGATTTGAAAATTGCACTTTTTCAAATTGTGATTTTAATTTAATAAAAATGAATTAATAATTCTAAGCTAATTCTGGATCATTTTGATATTTGAGTATCAAATAATGAGTTAATGAATAGATATTCAGTTAACTATGGCAAGGAAAAGAGGACAATGTCAGATTGCTCACTGCAATTCACTTTTACTCCAGTTGGCAGTGCAAGTGTTGGTGTTTTATTAAAAGAATACTAATGAAAAATAATGAAACACTGTTCAGCAAAATCTTTATTAAAGGTAGACACATTACACTCTTTCATGCCACATTCAATTCAAGCTTAATTCCAGACAAGATTCCTGTTTTTTGGTTATCTTTGCTGTATGCTGTGTTGTGTTTTAACTATGAAAACAGTCGTATGCAAATGTTTGAATACCCCTGTTCAAACTACATGTTTTGTTGATTTTCACATCTTCTACAGGTAACATATAAAAAATGTGCCAAAACTTTTGCACGGGCCATATTTTATGTTTTATTTTCTTTTTTTAATATTTCAGATTAAGCAAATAAACAGTAATTGTGCATGTGCAGAAGTGTGTTCTCTTTACACTTTGCACTTTTTTTTCAGTTAGAAAATCAAGGACACATCTGATGGGGGTGCCCAAACTTTTACACAGCACTGTTATGTAAAGGTTCAAATATATAACACAAATGTGTCAAAGTTTAAAATGTAAAGGGGTTTTATAAAGATTAGCCCAGATGGTAACTAGATGGTAACACTTTATTTGAAGGCTGCCTACAAAGTGACTTAAGTAACTAAAAGTGTTGAATAACATATTAATAAAGCAATGCTTGAATATTTGTGAACAGCTTCTGCAAGAAATCAGATGGCATAAGATATCTTATAAAGTAAATGACACTGTACTGAGGCTTTAATCTAATGTAGTGGGTGTTTGTCCCATTGATTACACTGTTACGAAGCATCGTTCCTGAGTAATGGTGCTTATAATGCAGAATTCTACTGTTTGTCTGTAAACATGCTGTTTTCTGTTAATTTCAGGCCCTCCAGGGAAGCGTGGGAGAATAGGCAGACGAGGAGATCCTGGTGAGTTTTAATCTGTCTCACTCTCCACTTCCTTCTGTGACTGTGTTTCTTTCTGGCCTCATTCTGATTCACAGATCTTTCACTTTGAATTAGCAGTGAACATCTGGGTTTTCACCAGAACAGTTTCTTAATGCGTTATTTAACATGGTTCATTTTTCAAACATTATTCCGAGTTAATTGAATCAGAAAGTGACTGTAAGGATCTGAGTCAGTTGGGAGTCATGTGTTCTCTTGTCTCGCACTGATTATGACTCAGTGTCTCACACTGCTACAATGACAACCAACTTAACACAACATACAGTCACTCGTTTTATTTGTCTTTGACTTATGCAGCGTTTAAGATGCAGTGCAAGTGTAAATCCAGAGGTTACACTGAGGTCCCAGACATTTCTATGAATAGTGTCGGGCAGGGCTGGAGTGGGACTTGTTTTGAGACTAAGAGTTACATGATGCAAACCAACTGACCCCAAACTCTTCCTGTATTTCTCCTGCTATATACACACATGCACACACACTCAGAGTTGCCTTCATACAAACTACCTTTTTTTCCTGAAATTTGCACATTTTCATTGTCATTTCTTCATTTCTTAATCTTATTTATTATTGATATGCTACACTGAGATAACCAAGGTGGCTAGCTAGTGATAAAACTGAAAAACTGAAAACTGGTGAAAGCGTTTGTCTTCAACATGACATAATCTTTAAAGTCAATGTCTGTCAACAGTTGGTCAGTCATCAAAAAAGGCATTAATCTCTGTAGAGCACTGCCTACAGTGGAAGCCTTTATCAGATACCTGAATTTGATCTGAATTTAATCTCTGATGTTACCTTCTTAATTGAAATTCCACTTTAAAATGGGCAGCAGTTACATGCTATTAGCCATATATGCATCTGAACCCCACTGCTACCCCATTTAAGGTGGAACAGGAAATGAGAAAAAGAAGTTTCTTTTCATCTTCATCTAATCTCTGTTACAGTCAGCAAACAAGGTCTGCACCACTTGAGGTCAGGGCCACTGGTTTAACCTCAAATTGCTACAGATACACACTGGGATGTAACATTTTATAGTTTGTCTGGGCGTCTTGTACACATATGCATGAGTTTGTACACAAGCTCACAGTAACCGGCCGAAAACACGAGACTGGCCCACCAAGAATTCTCCCAGCTCACCCACTCCAGCTGATGCTGGGGATGTGGCAAGTCAAGGCAATAATAAGGAGCGAGGAAAACACTGAAATGTGCAGGGCAGTGGGTGTTCCAGGACCAAGGTTGGGAACCTGTGGCCTAGCAAGATGACTGCATTTGTGATAGTTTGTAATTCTTTAAAGGAAGCTGCCCTATTGCTTAAATTCCACTCAGCACCAAAATAAACCAATCATAAAGAATCAGTCAGGTATCTTTTTATTGCCTTTATTTCAAAACAGGTAGACCTGGTAGTCTTATCGTCATATCTGGAGCCCCCTCTGGTGGAAATTTGTAATCGCAAACAGAAGATGTTTTTGTAATGTAAATTGTGAGCAGATAAATCTGGGCAATAGGGGCTGCTGTTACAAAGTGTCCTCTTTGTTCCGTGAGTAGTTCAGTGATAGATCAAGGAGTGTTATGAGTAGTGTGGCCAGTAATCCAGCCCTTCCAGTCGGACCTTCTCTTGAGCCTAAGATAGTGACATAATTCCATAAAGAAAAACTCAGACATTAGAATGAATTGGCTTTGCAAGATAACTCAGAGAAGGGCACAGTGTTTTAGCATATCGCTGCTGTCAGAACAAATCTAATCTCCAAAATGGAAAAAACATACTTTACTTTTAATGTAAGTCAATGGAACCAGACTTTTTTCCAAGTAATTTTGGCCCATTTAATTTGATCCATTCATCATGAAATTTACACACAATGTAAAGGGAAACGGGCATTTTCAAAACATGCCAAAAACTGAAAAAAGGAAAAAATGGAGATACAAAGTTTTGTTCCGACAGCAGCGATATGTTTTGTCTGCAATGCAATATTATTGCACAGCTCAACACACTTGGAGGAGAATACTAACTGCCAATTCTGTTTTGTCAGCTAATGAAAACCTGCATTGGCAACATTTATACATTTTTTCTTTCATGTTACAGATGTAAGCGAGTGTCACATCACGAGTCTTGCTTATTGATTTAGCATGGTGTACTTGCTCAGGCAGGGAAACAAACCCAGTCTGTTACAAGGAAGACAGTGGTTTTACCAACTATGCTACACCAACCACTAGCTGGCATCACCTTAAGTGATGGGGGAGAGGGAAGACCGTCCTACTCACCCAGAGAGCACGAGGCCAATGATCTCTTGAACTCCCAGCTGTTGCACAGCTAGAAATTTGACCATATGATCTCCTGATGTTAGGGCCAAATTTAGAGACTGAAAGACCTGAAATTTATGCAATGATAGGCTAGTGAAGGTTCTATGGCCCCTACCCACTCTTGTTTCGCAGTTCATGAAGTTCTTGACCACTCTGAGCCAATACCTGCCATTTTCAATAGCAAACATAGTGCTTACATTGTACTGAATCTCCCACACTCGCCCAGGCCTCTTTTTAATCAGATGTGATTAAAACCAAGTGCTCTCAGTTCCCACACGAACACAACAGCAGCTTTTCTGCATCTGTTTCCCAAAATGCGACTTCAGTCTTCTTGTTCACATGGAGGTAGTGACCCTACCTGTTTCAAAACTCAACATGGTTCTACTTAGCTTTACCCTGTTGCTGCTGTTTGGTAGCTAGAGCCATGTAGGTTTGATTTGAGTGCACAGAGATGGATGGTGCTGGTTCATTTTTGCCCCATGCCCACTGTCTCTCTGCTGCGCCATGCCTGGTTCTGTTTTGTGAGAGAAAGAGGAAATGTCTGGAAGCTGGAACACATTGTCGCAGACAAATCATGACGCAGATTAGAGAAGTCACAGGGCTCCATGAGAGCTCAACAAAATAAAGAGATTAATCACTTCACTGTGAATTACTGTTCTGTGGTATGGATGGAAAAGGCATTACATAAACAAACATAGCCATGGCGCTCTTTTACACCCTCTCTCGCCTTCTCTCATGTCAGACACTTTTTTATGAATGCAAGTTTGATGACAGAAGAACCACTAATTGCAATCTGAGCAGCATTAAAATTAGGCAGGAAAGGACAGATTTGGACAAGCAAAATACTGTGGAGCCCATAATGACTCTCTCTCTCTTTCTCTCTCTCTCTCTCTCTCTCTCTCTCTCTCTCTCTCTCTCTCTCTGTTAAACACTCTCTGAGAGGATATGTGCAGATCAGCTGTCCCTTGCAATGGTTAGAACTTGGTCTCATACTTAATTCACATGAAAGTGGAGGTCTGTCTTATTAGAAACACCTGGATATACATAAACAAAAATGTTGATTTATTTCTACAGCACCTGTTCTTGAAACCTTTCTGCCCTTTTACGGGTCAAACAGTAGTTTATCTTCTTTAAGATGTAGTTTATTTCTGTTCTTTGGCTTGGTGAACAATAATGGTGGTGTATCGTATTTCATTCATTCTAAGAAAAGGGAGAACAATATTTGGTCCCACTTTATTTGGACAGCCCCTGAGGGGTAATCTACAGATGTTCAGATTTTAACAAACCATTTGGAGAAATTCAGTGTCTCAGATTCTCAGCAGCATAAGGGTTAGGGTTAAGATTAGGAGTTAGATTTAGCACCAGGATCAGGGTCAGGACTAGATTATGGGTGGAGGTCAAGGTTGAGGCTAGAGTGAGTGTTATGTTAAGGAAACATTGTGGTAAATTGAATGGATGTTTAGTTAGGTGTAACTTAAAGGTAAGGCGAGTATGTACAACAAGGTGTGCAATCCTGGTCCTGGAGATCTACTAATCTGCAGAGTTTAGCTCCAAACGCCAATCATACACGCCTGAACCAGATTATAAAGGCCTTCATGGGCATGTGAATATTAGATCCAGTGTGTTGGATCTAAATTCTCTACTATGGTAGATCTCCAGGACCAGGAATATTAGAGCCAGTGTGTTGGCTCCACGATGGTAGATCTCCAGAACCAGGAATATTAAAGCCAGTGTGTGGGCTCCACAATGGTAGATCTCCAGGACCAGGAATATTAGAGCCAGTGTGTTGGCTCCACGATGGTAGATCTCCAGGACCAGGAATATTAAAGCCAGTGTGTGGGCTCCACGATGGTAGATCTCCAGGACCAGGAATATTAGAGCCAGTGTGTGGGCTCCATGATGGTAGATCTCCAGGACCAGGAATATTAGAGCCAGTGTGTGGGCTCCACGATGGTAGATCTCCAGGACCAGGAATATTAGAGCAGTGTGTTGGCTCCACGATGGTAGATCTCCAGGACTAGGAATATTAGAGCCAGTGTGTTGGATCCACAATGGTAGATCTCCAGGATCAGGAATATTAGAGCCAGTGTGTTGGCTCCATGATGGTAGATCTCCAGAATCAGGAATATTAGTGTAAGTGTGTTGGCTCCATGATGGTATTTATTATTATTATATTATTTAAATATTATTATATTATTCATTTGACCGGGGAACTTTTTCAGTCTGTATGACTTTATCTACACTGGGTTATCCAAATAAAGTTCAGTGATGAGTCTGCTTTCATTTTACAACACTAACACTGTTTTTTTCCCTCTGTGTGTGTTATTTTTGCAGGACCCCCAGTAAGTACCTCATTCCTGTTTATTGTTCATTCACTCCATGCTGAAACAGGTATCACTGTAGTCTGTTGTGGTAAGTAAATACTGCTTCACAGAGGCTGAGCAAACATACCTAAGCCTAAGAATATATGAGACATGCTGGGCTCTAAAGCCACAACAGAGTCTTTAATCTGGAGATATTCTTCTAGTGAAATGTAGAGTTGAGCCACAAACACGGAGTACCTCAACATAAGTGTCTATTCAACCCATACAAATATATCATATATTCAAAAATAGATTACAATATATTTTATCAGTATTCTGTGATTATTTAAGAAACATTCTGATGTATTGTTTTTTTATATGGAGAACAGTAAAACATGCTGTACCCTTGAAAGGTCTAGTTGTTTGTAGATACCAAACATAGTTTGCTTGTTTGTATTTGTGTCCAAGGCTGTTGTTATCCATTGTCGTGACCCATGACAGGTGGGTCAAACTTTGGGTCCAAATGCTGTCCTGAAGAACACAAACATTCTTATATTTTCTCTGCCTTAAAGGGGAATTCCAATCATTTTGCAAAATTCCTTCATAAATTAATTGCTGAGAAATTTGCAGACTCTAATTTCTTTACAGTGGTGGTGATAGGAACCGGGCCTTGCCATGTCTACAACATATTATTTTTTATTTTATGTATTATCCAAAACTGCCAGTGAACCCATGTGTCTGCTGTGTTGTTATATGTTAATGATGGTAAAATAGTGATACATCTGACAAAAAAAGTTTTCTTTAGGGACTGTTTTGTCTCACAACACCCTGCCCATACCCCTCCACCATGAATGGATTTCAAAAATATGTCTTAGGCCAAAACCTGATCTCAGAACTAACATAAAGCAATGTCTCAGATATCAGCAGCATATTTGGAATTCATAACTGTTATATTTCATTAAATAACTTTCTGTGAGGGAGTTTTTAGATGCATTAAACTCTTCAGATGTCTGGTTCCTATCACCACCACTGTGAACAATTCTGACTTGGTAAGATATTTGATTTTACATCAGATCACTTTGACAACTCAAACCACTTTGCTTACATCTTAGCCATTTCATTGCAGAAAATGTTTGAAAAATCTTGAACACTGAATTTAACTTACAATTAATGATTTATTAACTTTGTTATACATGAATTCAAGCATTTCACTGAATTGTGTACTGGAGTGGGAAAAACACTGTAATGTGCAGTGCTGTCACACATTAGTCTATACACTAGCCTTGCCATGAAATGTACTGTATGTTATAAATGCTTTGATATGATATACATATTACGATATATATGTATATATATATATATATATATATATATATATATATATATATATATATATATATACACACACACATTTATTTCTGCATTTTGACCATTTTTTGAATTTGAACAGGGCAAAGCTGGACGGGATGGTTACCCGGTAAATTTCATTTGAATTATTTTCTGAATTTTCTTTTTTTCCCCTGAGTACTCTTACTCAGTCCCATGTTCATGTCCTTCAACCTTAAGCCTGCGTGTCTTGTTTGTCTTCTCTTTTTTTTCTTACTTGCAGAATTTCTGGATCAGAGTTTGCTTATTATATCCACTAATTCACTAATATTTATAGCTGTAGTTCAGCTGTACCCACTTTTGTCAAAAATCAAGGCTTATCTATGCTGTATGAAGTTGAATAGTCATATTCATAAGATTAACCAACTGCTGACTTTTTTAATTTTGTTCTTTTAGAACTGATGAATTAAGTTATATGATATTTGTCTGGCTACGATTTTCACGTTTCAGAAATTTGAACTTTGTTACCACCATCCTGTCTTCAATCTCCTCTTCTCTTTCCTTCACTATGCTAACAGTAATTGCATTAAGTACTGCTTCACTCAGTGGCAGCGTTTCGCAAGAACCTAGCACAGCAACTTAATACTACATTTATAGCACATCCTAAAAACAAACAGCTAGCTAGTAATTGTTTTTGGGCTGCTTTGTTTTAAGCCTTCACTAAAACAGTCATATGCACAAGTTTGGGTATCCATGTTTTGTTTATTTTGGAAGTGAAAAAAAACCCCAAAAAACCAATAAACTGATTAAATTATAAAATAAATAAATAAAAACACATGCTCCAGAGCACGCATGTCAAACTGGGGACTGAGGAGTTGAATGAAGCAGTGTGCTGAAATCTGCAGTGTTTTGGCCTGTGAGGACTTGAGCCTGACACATGTGCTCTAGGGAGAGCACTCTTATGTACATATTAATACAAAATTTCTGTTTATTTGCTGAATTTAACATTCTGGCTGAAAAATAACACCTAAAATGAGGCTTGTGAAAAAGTTATGCCACATTTTATATTTTAAGCTTTATTTTTTTCAGTATGTTAAACCCAAGAAATAGCAAATAAATAAAAAATTGAGTGCTACAATTAACAGAAGAATGACATAAGGTTTTTCCGTGTAGAGCATGTGTTAACTTATTTTTACTTAGAAAATCAACAAAATACATCAATTGACCAAGAGGTGCTCAGTCTTTTGCACACAACTGTGTCGTCAGTAACGTGAACAATATATAATGGCTCATACATTATGCCATCTTTTGTTTCACATTAAATTTTTTGATAAAAACATTAGTAGATGGTTGTTTATATATTGTACATTTTTAGGATTCAGAAACCATTCCTCCATAAACCAATCCAGCATGCTTAAGTGGTTCCACAGCAATTACTGCCAGTGCTTCCTGTTTGCCCACATCATAGATTTAGAAATATTAGAATTAATATTAATAATGTGAGAACACTGATCCTAATTCCTCTTTAATGACCATCTACTTCATATTTTTTCACTTTGTCATGATGCTGGGCTATAAAACCTTATGTGCAAACACCACACTTTGGAGCCTCCCTGGTACTAAATCCAGATTTATAATGATTTGTATCTAAAACATTGGAGATCCATTGGCTACTTGTAATTAAGGGGACGGGAGCAGGTACCAACTGGACATTATATGTCTCTACTCTTCACTATGCACTGCCATGTTGTTTATACATCCATACATCTAATACTAAAAAGTTGCAGTTCTGATGAGGAACAAAAATAAACAAACAAAATAAACTTTAAACTCACACTGAAGTTGGGGCAACATTGATTTCCAGCCAGTAACAATGATGTTATGTCATTTCTTGGCAGGAACATCTAGTTTCTCTTCTCTTCCCAATATAAACTTGATGCAGTATAAACCATCACACACTGCTGTGCTTCTTACTACTTACCTTACATCTGTTTCAATAACAATCTGTTTCCAATTTGAAGAATTCGTCAGCATCTCTTGCATCACAGTCAAGCAACGTGTGGCAACTGTTTGCATTAAGCAGTTCGCTGGTGAGGCTGGTGTAGCGCACACAATGACAGGCTGGTGCCCCCTAGTGGCACCCAGCAATAGAGCAAAAGGACCAATGATGAGGCAGTGCTGAGTCACCACAGTTCTGCTGAGCTTGTGGTAAATTTGTGGTTCATTTGCTTTTAGCCATGAGGCAGATAACATGACACCCTGTTGTGTTTGATTCCTTACTAAGTAATCTACTGTCTGGCTACTCAGTTAGAAACAAGGAACAAGTCTTGTAATGAACTTGGGCCTGGAGCGGACCTGTACGGGTTTCGATTAGTTACTCAAAGACACAAGAAGTGAGTTCAGGTCACAGTAGGTCAATGTCTCTTCTGACTGAATGGTTATTAATTAAAGTTTGATCTCTGTATTGAATTGCAGTAATGTGAGTGTCAGTGTGAGAGCAGTTTATCATGTTGTTCCTGCAGTGATATTCTTGTGCAGATAATAATCAGTCTTGGCCTGGCACAGGCACGCTGGTGCTGTTAGTGTGTGTGTGTGTGTGTGTGTGTGTGTGTGTGTGTGTGTGTGTGTGTGTGTTATACACTATAGCCTCCCCACAGCCTCACATCTGCCTTGCTCTCTTTCCTGCCGGGAAATACCTCCTAATTACACACAGGTGTGTGTGTGTGTGTGTGTGTGTGTGTGTGTGTACTGTGACTGCGTGTGTAAGTAACTCATGTTCTGTTTGCTATTTAGCAATAAATGCACTGTTCACGGGGTCATACTATTTTTAGGAAAATTAGAAATGTTATTCTTTAAATAACTGATAAACCTTTTCATATCTCAATTACTTGCCAAAAAAAACCCAAACAAATAAAACAAAACTAAAAACATTTGTGGTTAATAGTTGGTATTTGCCTTGTAGCTGTGCCATTTGGTTCTGATGCAAAATCTGCTAAGATTAATAATGAAGACAGAAGGTTATTATATTGTCATATTTGATAGAGTATAAACATTAACAATATCTATGCAATTTTTTGTATTTTTTTTCCCCAACATGTTAAAATCACCAAATGCATAGAAACTGAGCATTAAAATATGCAGAAAAATGCCTGAACATGTACAGTATATATTATATTATATTATATTATATTATATTATATCATATTTCCTTTTTACATTCATAAAAACTCATCATTGCATCATTTTTATCTGGCTTGCATCAGTAGTGGTTCTTCAAATCCATGCTGCAAATGTATACATTAACAAAATCTACACTACTTTAGCTCTAGTAAATATTCATAAACCATTCACTTTGACCTGAACATAACACAAGGGAGAGGTGTTTTGAGTATGTGTGTGTGTTTCTGCATGCACACACATGAGTATGTGTGTGTGTGTGTGTGTGTCTGTATGTATGTACAGTACTGTGCAAAAGTGAGAGATCCCCATTTATTCATTTAATATTCCAGCCAAAATGGTCAAAGTTACTCATTTTTCAGCATCAGGAAAAAAGCAGAAAACATATTTAACAGAAAATGTTACAGAATCCTCAAGAGCTAAATTTAATATCATGTTTCTCAGTATTTCGTGTGTCACTCTTTACCTTTATTCCAGCTTCCACTCTTTTCAGGAGTCGCACTTTCAGTTTCTCAGAGAAATCTCGCAAAGAAATCAAAGTTGGTTGATCATTTTCTGAAGTAATCAAGCACATTCAGTGATGTTGAGGTCTGGACTCTGGGGTGGTCAGTCCATTGTTCAGCTTCGTTGTTCGATGTGTCTGTCTCCTTTTCTCAGTGAGGTTCTTCTTGACAGCTACACATCCTTTCAGACCCATAGCGCTGAGTTGTCTTCTCACAGTGGAAGGATGGACAGAAACACCTGTGGATGTTTTCAGATCTGAAGCAGCTTGATTTTCTCCTCTCTCTCAAAGATGAAAGTTTTAAGTGCTGGTTATCTGATGGGGACAGTTTTGGTGTCTACCAGGTCTTATAGGTGGTTGTTAGGAATCTTGTTTTCTCTATAATTTCTAATAATTTTAGTCAGCTCTGGTTTTGTTGACTTTCTCCTTCCTTATGCACGAGGGTTATGTCACATCTAATCTCCTCAGAAATATCTCCTGAAAATGAAAAACTTGTACTGTTTTTTTTTCTGGACGTCTAAAAAATGGATAAATGGCTTTGCACTGACACATTCGTTCACATTCTGAATGCTTGATGAAGCATCTTTGCAACAGCGACGGCTTTTCTGTGCCATCCTGTTTTTCTGTGGAACAAATGGACAGATGTGTGCGAACACCATGCCTTCACATCCCTTAGCAGCATAGACCATGCGTTTGTAATTTCTCTGATCTTTCTGGGAATCGCCCGCCTTTCAAACAAACTCGTAATATTTATATTAAACTCTCTACACTGTGATGCAATTCAATAGTCATGGAACTCAGTTCAGGTACCTGACAGACAGAAAGGTGTTTATTAGAGCCTGAGAGTAAAACTTTGGACTGTCAGTCATGGAGCAGCTGATGTCACAGATTTAGATGTTTGCCTGCAGCGTGTTGTAATGGTGTGATAACAGCTGCACCAAAATGATACGAGCAGGCAGCCCACCGAACTGAGCTCGATGTTTCTTAGTGTGTTTTTGTGTAATGCGCGCAGGTGGCTTTGCATAAATATGAATGCGTGTGTGATGCAGCTGTGTGCACCTTGCCGCTGCTCTCACACACTCAGGTGGTGCCCACATGCTGCCAGCTCTCATTAGAGTCCTCGTCTGAATTAGCACTATTGTAAACAGGCCGCATTACACGCAAACTCCGAGAAAACAATGCTCACTCTGCCGTCATTTCCCACCTGCATCAATCATTCTCTGTGGCTCTGGAGAATTCAACATGACAAGCTTTCACTTATAGACTACCCACGGAGAGGCTGACAGGGGTAAACATACTGAAGACAGAGAGAGAGAGAGAGAGAGAGAGAGAGAGAGAGAGAGAGAGAGAGAGAGAGAGAGGTCAGTCCTCATCAAACACAGTATTGCTGTTTTATCACTATATCCCATTTATTAAAGGGAAATTCCATCATTTTTTTCAAAATACCTTTATAATTAAATGCTTTAGCTGGT